CCCCAAAACCCCAAAACCCCAAAACCCCATTAATATATTGCAAAATTGAATAATTAAAACTACAAGAATTTGATCAGTGAGCAAACAGCTTAGCCTTCTCTGGAAGCTTTACTCTGATTTTCCATCTCTATGATCGAAGAGGTCAGTGTTTTCCTCTTGAAATCTGACTCTCTTAGTTTCTCATTGACAAACTGAGGATCTATAAAGGTTATTATAGCCATTTACCAATTAATCAGAGGTCTTCTTCGTCTGCAACAGGAGGGGAGAAAGGTGGCTGGATCCTTTTATGCATTAATTCTTCCCAATCAATTCCTTCAAAGAAAGGATGATCCTTAATAATCTCAGCATCTTGAGGTCCACTACCAAGTCTTCTCTTAGGATTCTTCTCTAATAGATCAGAGACAATACTTTGTTGGTCTTCTGTGAATGAGTCAGGGATATTAAGATCATCATTTTGTATTCTTTCAAAGATGCTTTCTGGATCAACATCAGTAAAAGGGCATCTACCTGAAAGCATGCGGTAAATAAGGATTCCCAAACTCCACCAATCGACACACTTATCATGCCCTTCTTCTGTCAGGATTTCTGGAGCAATATAATCTGGAGAGCCAAGAATTGAGTAAGCAAGTCCTTTCTTTGAAAGCTTATTTACATAATCCAAAATCTACTAATTTTATATGTCCTTGGTAATCCAGCAAAATGTTCTGTGGCTTAAGGTCTCTGTAAATAATATCATTTTGATGAAGTCATTCTAAAGCAAGTGTAATTTCTGCTGCATAAAATTTTGCTTTTTCTACTGAGAAAATTCCTAAACCAGCTTAGAACACTCTACTCTTACCTTCATTTGTCAAATGGGTATAGAGCTCCCCTCCATTCACAAAGTCAAGCACAAAATACAGCTTTTCTGAGCTTTGAAATGCAGTATGCAATTTGATAATAAAAGGGTGATCTATATTTGCTAGGACTTCTCTCTCAAGTAAAATTCTGTGCTTTTCTTCAACTTCCCTAATATCTTTTTTCCTGAGTACCTTCATTGCATATATTTTATCTTCTTGCTTATTTCTGACGAGGAAAACTTTTGCAAAAGCACCTTTGCCAATGATCTTCTTGATGGCAAAGTCCTCTACAGATATTGACTTCCCAAAGATGTCACTGGAGCACTAAGTTGGATAACGAATATGAGTACTTACAGATATAGAACTTTCTCCTGGATTTTTAGAGTTCTTTATTCATCATGAACCCATTTTTAATCTAATAATACCATGAAACTGGGGTTTTGGGGTTTTGGGGTTTTGGGG